ACAGAATGATGAACTGCCTCCGCACAATACGAGTTGGCATAATCGAATTACCGATACATAATCGATACATCGAATATTCGAAACGAGTGCTTGGACGTATCTGTATAATGTTATATTGATGATTCTAGCACAGACTGATTAATGGTTCCACGTTGTAGCATACAATGAAGACCGAGCCGTGCGTGTTTCAGGGTTACAATTACACTATTATATCTACAAATGTAGCATACATTGCTGTTTATTCATAGTTTCTTTCATTTTTCACTCATCCAAGCCTTAATGTATATAAAAAATATCTTTGACTTCTATTTTACTATATGCTTTGAACAGAGGTTGAAAATAGGGTTGTCGCCACGAACGTGACTTGTGATTTTGCATGTATTATTATATTTCCTAAAAAATATGATGAGCTTAGATATAATTTATTTGCTAATTTTAAAACTTTATAAACGAAAGTATTTTTTTCATTGAACATATAGGGATATATTGAATTAATTTAAAATAATAGCCTTGTTTACCCTTTTTTACAATTTGATGTAATCTCGGTGGGTGTCCATCGAGACCCGCGGTGGGCAAAATTATCGCACTCTAGGTGGTATGCACTCTGCTTAATTGACAAATATAAGGGCTGTATAAGTATTTTTCTAATAATAATAAATAATGCTACGTATATATTTCAAGAGTAACTACCCGCAACTCCGCCCGCATCTTCTTACCCTCATAGGTATGTATATACATGCCTAATAAGCAAAATATATAGTGGATTCCGTCCGTTATTTCTTATAAATTCATTAAAATTAATTTAAGTACATGAAGTATCTTATAATTATTATTATATATTAATATTTTAATTTAAAGTTATAAGATTCTTATAAATTATGAATTGAATGAAGATCTTATCAAAAAATAGTATAAAAATAAGCATTACTTATCATATTAAAAAAGCTTACAGTGCAATGTTTTGTACATATATAAAAAATTACAGAATATATTGCTTTTTTTAATTTAGAATTAATAGATTAAGTTTTCAGTTATGTAAGTTTCAGGCTTCACAAAAACAAAGTTTTTCATTCAACTTTATTTTTATTGTACGATACCACTATTTCTTTTAATATCTGTGAGGATCAAAAAAGCCATAAAAATATAAATAAAGTAATTTGATTATTATAACAATTAACATGAAATGGTAGATTGGAAAGAATATTTTTTGCTATTTTATAAATTAGCTCAAAACTTTCGCTTTTATGCAAATTAGCTTCAAAATTACCCTTATTCGAGCGAAGCTAGGAGCGGATGCTTGTATATAACATAGATATGCATATTGACATCACATTAAGAGATAAACGAGCCGAGGCAAGCTGTCGTACTAAAATCAATGAGTTTTATTATTAATGGTAACCCTTCGCTGGCACCAATCGATTTCCGAACCCCGGTTCAATACAATGCACATTTTAAAATTTAAAATCCGATATCTGTATGAACTTTTTTATGACGCTACGATGCATTTTTAACCCTTTACCGTATGTCACTAGATCAGCAGTTCTCAACTTATAAAAAGATATTATATCTTTGTTCAATTTGATTAAGAAAATAAATGCTATATCTTTATAGATTAAATTACCCTATATATCATATGCTTCGTTTAAAATGTTAGTATTATAATTTTTGATACATGTGTACAAAGCCTCATTTTAAATATATTACATTTAAAAGATTATAACTTGTTTGTATTTGGATAATATCTTATTCTAATTTCTATTTTCGCAGCGCATTATTAGAACATCAAGGCGAATATAAATATTTATTCAGAATGATATGTTATTATTTATTAAGTCTATAAAAGAACATAATATTTACATCAATTTTCACGTACACTTATTTTTTTTATTTGAGAAACTCTGCTATAGGATTGTGTAGCCGCGGTGTCTGTACGTGACAATTTAAACAAATTCTGGACCATTTGGCTTCTGGGGTGGCTCGCTTTTTAAGGACTTATTTTGAATAAAAAAAACTTCCATTCACTCACACTCAGCCGGCGGATCAGATGTGGGCTGAGTGTGTGGTGTGCAATCTATTATAGATTAAATAAATGCCGATATTATAATAAGTAGCTGGAAGAGTGCATATTTTATTAGTACAACGAAAAAAGTAAAAATAAAAATGAATGAATAAAAAACCTATTGTGATGTTCTCTTGACCGATTCAGGCTACTGCGGCCAATCTCATTGAGACTAACCAACTGCGCAGGAGATATTATAGTGCAGCGCGTGTACGCGCAGACACAAGTGCACTCTCTATTCCTGTCACTCTCATACTCTGGTGGGACGACTGCTCGACACGACCAGCGAGAGTTAAGGCGCAGGACCGACGGCTTTACGTGCTCTCCGAGGCACGGGGGTGAAACACCGCCAACTTCCCAACTCCAGGCTGTTACTGAGGCTTACTATACAGAAAGACTCAATAACTAAACTTGGCCCGACCCGGGACTCGGACCCAGGACCTTTGGATGTGCAGCCGTACATGCTAGCCACTCCACCACCGTGGCAGTTAAAAAAACCTATTGTATATTATATACCTATATATATTTGCGAAATTATAAATATATAGAAAACATCGAGTTTGATTTGAAAGAGGTTTTTTGTAGTTAAGCATGAAAATATCTTCAATGCTTATTATTATTTAAAATGCTTTTAAACACAGCGTGTTATGTAAACTGAAACCTATTTCTTATCGTTATTAAACTATATTATCAAAACATTACTTTGTTAAAAACAAATCGTGACTTGTTTTCAATTTAAAACTATTTATTTATGAACACAGATAACATATATATACATATGTAAAGTAACTATATATGTACCTTTGAACTAATTAAAAAAAGAAATAATAAAAAAACTTACTAGCGACTCACCCACGCTACGCTCAGGTTCGTCCCTAGTTACATTTTGATGTTTAGTATACTCAGAGATGAGACATTTTCCAGCAGTGAAAAGTATTCTATATGTTGACCCCAATAACCAGCTATCCTCATTACAAATTTCATCAAAATCTGCCCTGTGGATTTCCCGTGATGCATTCCCAGACAGACAGACAAAAATTCTAAAACTACAGATTCAGCATCTGTATCGATAATAATGACTATTTTAATAAGTTTTATCAAAAAAAAAATTTACCTACAGATTAGAATTTTATTACATGTATAGATTTTAATACTATACCTACCTGATTCAACACCTGTTTTTTTCACAAGGAATGTAAATCTTTAAACAACATCCAGATTTTTATATTACTAGCAAAGAATATTCAAATCACATAACAAAAGCAACGCAGTAAGACGCGGGAATCCATTTCTACGTGAATATTTAATATTTCTCGCCACGCGATCTCTTCAGAGCCCATCAAAGCTATCCCAATAATCTCCTCGGCTGGAGATCTAGCGCCCTTTGTGAAGAGCGGACATATTCTGTGCATCGAATTATATCGAGAAGTGTAGAAGAGTCTATTAATAGTTTGTGATTTCCTTCAAGAGGTATTATACCATAAATGAATTTAATATTCCATAAGTATAAGATACTTATGAAATATACGGCGGCTTACCCTTGCTTTACTCGGGTGCATCCATAGCTGCCAAGCAGAAGCCTATGTGTACTTCAGGTCATATGTGTACTAACTGCCTCGGTGGTGTAGTGGCTAGCATGTACGGCTACACACCCGGAGGTCCTGGGTTCGAGTCCCGGGTCGGGCCAAGTTTAGTTATTGGGTCTTTTTGTATATTAAACCTCAGTATCAGCCCGGAGTTGGGAAGTTGGCGGTGTTTCACCCCCGTGCCTCGGAGAGCACGTAAAGCCGTCGGTCCTGCGAATTAACTCTCACCTGTCGTGTCGAGTGGTCGTCCCACCGGAGTATGAGAGTGATAGGAATAGAGCGTGCACTTGTGTCTGCGCGTACACTTGAGCACTATAATACCTCCTGCGCAGTTGGCTAATCTTAATGAGATTGGCCGCCGTGGCCGGAATCGGCTAGGAGAACATCATGTGTACTAAGTTTCATTTAAATCTGTCCAGCCAATTCAGTGTCAAGGAGTTACAAACATACACACAAATGCAAAAAATTTAAACGATGTCTTTCAATACCCGAGAGGAATTAATTGATTTATCAGTATAAAGATATGTCACGCATACCCTTCAAATATTGCTTTACACTCGTAGATTCCTTTTTCAATACTCGTAGTAGCGTGAAAGATCACTAAATCAACAAACTAATAACACATATAATAGCCGTTTTACTTCATCTTTAAAAATAACAATATTAATTATTGAAAGACTGGAATGCAATGTAATTATACAATAGAAACAATCGCCGAATAAATACAAAATCCTAGTCCAAAAGACATTCGAATTTAGCCAATACATTGCAAGTACATCATCAGTCACCGCCGCCCACACCATGTTACTTTCTAGAGACCATTTATAAGAGGGAGACAGATCAATTTATATAAAACATAAAGAGGGTTAATAATTGAAAGTAAAAAAATCATCCATTTGGCGCCCGACGTGGGGCGCGAGGGTATATTTTAATAATAAATAGCGTATGCCATACGGTATCATTTCTAATTTAGTTCGTCCCTTGTTTAGAATTTTTATTTATAGTGTTGAAACAATAATTAAGTGGAACTAATCTCAATTAAGGGACATTTTTAAAGCATTAATTAATTGAATCATTGCTTATTCTCAGTAACTGGGGTTTATTTTTTCAATTAACAGTATAATATTCTATACATATTGTGATGTATGAGGGTAGATTTGTTTATGTGGATTACATTGTAGGTGTAATTAATTTGTACTCTCATTGTGGAATAAACGGTCAACGAAGTACGTGCGTTTCCTTTGTCCCCGGCTGCATTATTGTGTATAGTTCTCATAGGCATTCAAATATATTTCAGTGGCGACGATTGAACTTACGTGTGCACTGTGCATATTATAAATAAAATAAATAAAAAAATGTCGATTGGTAAAATAGCGGAATTTAATATACGGACGGACAATTGGCGGTTATATGTGGAGCGTCTAGAACAATATTTTATTGTTAATAAAATAGCAAGTGAGCTAAAAGTGCCAACGTTAATCACCGTAGTTGGATTAGAGTGTTATGAACTATTGGTGGACTTGTGTACTCCCGACAAGCCGTCATCGAAAACGTTCGAACAGTTAACGAATGTTCTAGAAAAACATTTACAACCCAAGCCGAGTATTTTGGCGGAACGATTTAAATTTCGACATAGGAAGCAAATGAGCAGTGAAACAGTGGCGGAATATATCGCTGTGTTAAAAAAACTTTCTAAAACATGTGAGTTCGGGGCGTGGTTGCAAGAAAGCCTTAGAGATCAATTTGTTTGCGGAATACAGTGTGAAGCGATACGGCAACGGCTATTTCAAGAGGATGACCTTGATTTCTCGAAAGCGTATCGCCTGGCGGTTAGTATGGAGGCGGCTGAAAAGGATGCAGCGGTAGTGGAGAGCCATGCTGAGGGGCCGGGTGGAGTACCGGCGGTGACGACGGTGTGTCAGGCGGCAGTAGCGGCGGCGGGGAGATCGTCGGCCGCGGGCGGTACGGCCGGCCGGCGCGGGCGGTCGGCGGCGGCAGCGGAGACATCGCGGCACCAGGCGGCCGTCGGGACGCGCTGTCGCGCTTGTGGTGGCCAGCACGTTAGGGTACCGTGCAGATTTGCGCGCTATGTGTGCAGAGCGTGCAAGCAACAAGGTCATCTGCAGCGCGTCTGTCCTAATGTGAAGGGAGCTTATAACATCGAGACGGGGAGTACGACGATAGCGGCGACGACTTCAGACAGCGAAGAGAGTGACGAGGTAATAGTAGTTGAACTTAACCAATTAGCCTTAGAACTTTGTAAACCATTCATGGTGACATTAGATGTTCAAAATAAAGCTATCTCGATGGAATGTGATACGGGTAGTGCAGTGTCATGCATAAGTCATGAATTTTATAAAAAAATATTTATATGATTTAAAATTAGAAGAGTGTAGATTAATTTTAAAATATTATACGGGGGAGACAGTGCGCCCTGTGGGGGTCATTAGACCTCTAGTTAGATACCGCGGGCAAGAAAAATATTTAGACCTGTACGTTGTGCGCGATGCTAAGTCTGCTTTATTGGGTAGACAATGGTTATTGGAATTAAACATAAAATTGCCTAAACTCAAAGTTGATACAATGAATTATATAACCGATAATAATTTTAATTTCAATGATTTCAGTTCCAAATATTGTGAAGTATTTGCGGAGGGCCTGGGACGGTTCACCGGCGGCGCGGCGAGCATTCACATACGGGAGGGAGCGCGGCCGGTGTTCATGCGTGCGCGTCCCCTGGCGTACGCTCTGCGCGGGCCGGTGGAGCGCGCGCTTGACCAGATGGTGCGCGATGGCATCCTCACACCCGTTGAGCGCTCTGACTGGGCCACACCGATAGTGCCAGTTATGAAGAAAGACGGTAATGTACGGATTTGTGCTGATTACAAATTAACTCTCAATAAGGTAATTGAGATTGACCGTTACCCGCTACCTCGCACGGAAGACTTGCTCGCACGGTTACATGGAGGCGAGCTGTTCACTAAAATAGACCTGTCACAGGCCTACGCACAGATTGAATTAGACGAGAGTAAGAAATATACGGTAATTAATACGCACAAAGGACTTTTTATGTTTAATCGTTTAGTATTCGGCCTATCGTCTAGCCCAGGTATTTTTCAAAAGCGTTTAGAGCAATTATTTGCCGATTTACCATATGTGGGAGTATTTTTGGATGATATTATAATTACTGGACGGAATAATCTAGAACATATAAAGAATTTACATAAAGTATTTGAACGTTTGAAAATTAGTGGCTTAAAAGTAAAGAAAGAAAAATGTGAGTTTTTCCAGGAATCGATCTCTTACCTAGGGCATGTTATTAACAAACGTGGTATACATACTAATCCGGAAAAGGTTAAGGCGATTGTTAACACTCCCGCACCCACGACGGTATCTGAGCTGAGATCTTTCATAGGTATGGTCATGTATTACGCTAAATTTATTAAAAACGTAAGTACTATCTTAGCACCGCTATACAATTTACTTCGGGCTAATGTTAAATTCATATGGAGTGAAGAATGTAAAAGGGCTTTCCGTATAATTAAAGAAAAATTAAGTTCGAGCGAAGTATTGGTGCATTACTCGAGCGACTTGCCGCTAATACTGACGGCAGACGCGAGCGGCGTAGGGGTAGGCGCCGTCATCTCACACAGTACTCCCGAGGGCGAACGGCCGATAGCTTATGCTTCGCGCTCATTAACGGCAGCTGAACGGGCGTATTCACAGATAGATAGGGAAGCTCTAGGAATAATATATGGAATTAGAAAGTTTCATCAATATCTTTACGGTCGGCGTTTTACATTAAGAACAGATCATAAACCACTAACATATATTTTTGGTACTAAAGCAGGAATTCCAATTATGGCGGCGTCGCGGTTGCAGAGGTGGGCCGTTTTGTTATCGGGATATAATTATGCGATAGAGTACGTCTCGTCACAGAAAAATTGTGCGGATGCATTATCTAGACTGCCCCAGACTAGTGCCACGGAACACGTGATTAAAGAAAATACGTATTTAAATTTTGTAGAGACGTTTATGCCCGTAACGAATGATGATATAAGAACGGCTACTAGTAGGGACACATTACTAAGTAAAATAATTTTATACGTTCATTCTGGATGGCCTTTAACCTGTCCAGAGGGGGAAGAATACAAGCCATACTATAGTAAGCGTAACGAAATATATATAGATCGAGGATGTTTAATGTGGGGCTATAGGGTTATCGTACCAGCAGGATTACGTAGTATAGTATTGAAGCAGCTTCATGCAAGTCACATGGGCATTGTCAAAACTAAAGGTATAGCGAGGAGTTATGTATGGTGGCCGAACATAGATTTGACGTCGAAGCCGTATGCAGGCAATGCGACACGTGCGCGGCGGAGGCCCAGGCTCCTCCACGTGCTCCCCCAAGTCCTTGGACTTACGATTCGCGTCCTTGGAGTAGGATTCATTTAGATTTTCTAGGTCCTTTAGGTGGTAAAACGTTCTTAATATTAATAGATTCCAGTACAAAATGGCTGGAAATATTTGAAATGGCTCGAACGAACGCTACATCGGTAATAAAAACTATAAGGGCAACTTTTGCACGTTTCGGCTTACCGACCGAGATCGTGTCGGACCGAGGGCCCCCTTTTACGAGTCTTGAGTTCAGGGATTTCTTAATAAAGAATGGTGTCCGTCAATCGTTTTCACCGGTTTATCACCCGGCATCAAATGGGGCTGCGGAAAACGCAGTGAAGCTATGCAAGCGAGTAATTAAAAAGGCCATGCGGGAGTCAATCGATGTAGACGCTGCACTGCAAACTTTTCTTTTGTCATATCGAAATAGCGTCTATAGTAGTACCGGCGAAAGCCCTTCCATGTTGCTTCAACGGCGCGCGCTCCGTTCTCGGTTAGATCTCCTGAGAGGTGAGCGTGCCCGCGAGGACAGTGTGCGGGATGCGCAAGCACGCCAATTGCAATACGCAGGCGGCGTGCCGCGCGATTTGCAATTAGGAGACCAAGTTATGGCTAGGGGCTATGGCGGTAAAGATAAATGGCTAGACGGTACGGTGATAGGTAGAGAGGGTTCACAAAGGTACATTGTAGAAAGCGGTAACGGTCAAAGGTTTCACAGACATATTGATCAAATAAAGCGCAAATCCCGTTATTCGGTCGCGATGAGCTCAGCAAGTGATAAGGAGGTCGTCGCGCAGCCAGATGAGAAAGAGAGCTTAGAATTAAATACTGAAAGTGCAGGAAGTCGAATTTGTAGGGAGGAGGATAAGAGTATGACTGATAAACGGGCAGAGGATCCTTTACTTATTGATTCTTGTCCCTCAAGTAGTTGCTCGCCTCCGTCACCGCTGGACTGTCCCAAGCGCCAAAGAAAACTGGTTTTGAGATATGGAATAGATACCTAGGTCGAATGTACATATATCAAAATATTGTATCCTAAGTGGAATAATATATATATATTATATATGTATGTATAGATAATGTTGAGTTATCAAATGTTTTTTGTTATTGAGTTAATAAGAATTAGCATCACCTAAATTTTTATTTAGAGGTAATTTAGTTTATTTAATATGTATGTATATAGGCAAATTAAATGGATATTTAAAATATTAGAAGTTCTTGGTCGGTTATCTAAAACGTTAAAGAAATTAGAATATTGTGTCTATTATTTAAGTATTTCTTCTTGTGATTTATATGTATTCTCTAGATGTACTTAGAATTATTTTTAGTTGTAATTTAAGTAGAGAGGTGTGATGTATGAGGGTAGATTTGTTTATGTGGATTACATTGTAGGTGTAATTAATTTGTACTCTCATTGTGGAATAAACGGTCAACGAAGTACGTGCGTTTCCTTTGTCCCCGGCTGCATTATTGTGTATAGTTCTCATAGGCATTCAAATATATTTCACATATAATAAAATTGTAACTAAGTCGAATCTCTACATTAAATATTTTTTGGAAAGTCTTATTGAAATAGACATTATTATCGGTACAGAGTCCGAATCTATAGTTTTTAGAATTTTTGTCTGTCTGTTACCGCATCACGAGAAAACCACTGGTCAGATTTAAATGAAATTTGGTATGATGATAGGTGGTTATCCGAGTCAACATATAGGATACTTTTTACCGCGGAACATATCTCATTTCTGCCAAAAAAATACAAAAACTGCATTGTAAGAGTATACTAATGTGTAAAACCTAAGAATTTGGTTTTTGGTCATCTGAACGCGGGCGGAGCCGCGGGCAATGCTAGTATGAAATAAAATTTATTTTATGCCTATGTTAACTTTTAGTTTAGACGTTAATTACGTGTTGTTAAAACGTATAGTAAACGAATTAATAAAGAATACGCATTTCTAAAAAGAAAAGAAAATATTTTTCTTATTATGACTTTCATACATATTAAATCACTTTCTTGCATTCACATAACATATTTATAGTAACATATCGCATCATGATATCTCCGGCCAGTTGGCTTGGCAAAGATCCTATAACCTTTGAACTGTGAATTGGATTGGATGGTGTTATGCTGGATACGGAAATGTATATTTTAAATATACTTATATAATATTTAAAAAATGCTATTTGTTTAAAAATTGCTATATTCAATATCAACGAAAATATTTTAATGTATTATATTAATTCTGCTCTCGTTTTCATTAAAGCTCTATTTTACTAATAATTAGAAAGGCTTCTACTACTCTTCAACTCACAGTCTCTACCCATAAAAACAAGTCAATAAGTTTTTGCAATATTAGTGAAGTATTATATTGCCTCTAATAATTAAGACCTTTGTAACCTTTAAAAATATTAATTTAATATTAAGTTTATTTTTTCTACATTAAGTACTTGAAAGGTACGAAGCAGCTTAGATTGATGTTTAAAATAATGTAAGCAATAAAGTAGGTACTCTAAAACGTAGAAGTTACTGAGCTGAACAAAATAATTGGTAAAAAGTACGGGCAAAAAATGAAAAAGCAATGTATAGTAAACTAGCCACTTACCCTCGCTCCGCTCGGATTTGTCTCTAGAAACGTTTTAAAGGTCAGTATAGATTTCTCCGAGATGAGATATTTTCCCGCAATAAAAAGTATCCTAAATGTTGACCTGGATAACCAGCTACTATCATACTAAATTTCATTCAAATCTGTTCAGCGGTTTTCTCGTGACGCGTTCCCAGACAGACAGAGAGATAGACAAACAGATAAAAAATCTTAAAACTATAGATTCGGCCTCTTATTATTTAATAAGATTTTTCAAAAAATATTTAATGTTCAGATTAGACTCAGAATTTTATTATATACCTACATGGATGTACCTAGGAGTATAGTGGATTGATGATAGGTATTATCGGTTCTATTGATTTATTAAATAATTTTATTATACGTCATAAAATAATCTAAGTTTGTTAAATAATTTGATTTTAGATAGGAAGATTTTTATTGAAAATAAATGTGTTTTTAAAAATCATGTTTATAATTTGCTACAAGGTGCATAATATTTGTGGAAGACCGTCCAGGCCACCCCTTTCGGACCAGCCGAGTCAGGCCAGTTTATATCTTTGAAAAATCCCATATCCCCTACAAAAATCACACGGTCGCCCGCACCAACCGTATATATTGACTGATAAAGTTGTCTAGAAGAGACTTCTTCTGTTATATATCAAATTAAATAAAGCACAATATACATATGCTACTTCCTACAAATTTTGTATGTATATGTTAGTTTTTAGGCAATCGTGTCATTTTTTCTTTAACGAATAATTAAACCCTCTGCCTATTTAAATTACAGGATTACAGCAACTAATTATATTTGGCAATGAAGTATTAAACTTTTAATTTTCTATCTATTTTGATACCTCCTGCTTTTTACGTTGGTACCTACTGAAACAATAATTTAAATTATGAATTTTAACTATCGGCATATCTAGTATAACGACGTTTCCTGCCTACTATATTCACAATACTGCTTTTTTATACATTTTCTGATACATTTCTTTCCCAATGCATCTTCGGGGGAGATATTATTGTGATAGTGTCGGTGAGGCGTTATGAATATAGAGTAAGCTTTAATAAAGTAGTTTGTTGTAAGATTGAGATTCCGATTGCATTTTTTAGTACATTTGATTCCTCTATTTTTTAAAGCCTTAAAGGAAAGGAATATAAGAACCCTATTCAAAAAATATTTTCAAAGGTCAGACTTGTTTTTTATAGAATATTAATTATTCTATCTAAAATATATTATATATTTTCTTACTCTAAGTTTCCGGAGAGACGTTAACTTTCTGTATGTCTTCTATCGTCTGTACAATGGATAATGTTTTGATGAACTTTTTGATCTGGTGCCAGTGTCACGTTTTTATCATCGTATCCTGCGGATGACATCCACTTGTCCTAGATGCTAAGCATCCTATAAATGTAATGTTTTTTCTGCCTCGCACGTGCAAATTGTGGAACGATCTTCCTGAGGTTTTCCCTAAGCGTTATAATATGGGACCGTTCAAGAGTCGTGTCTTCAAGTCTCTCAAAGGTTGGTAACACATTCGCAACTCCTCTTATGTTGCTGTTGTCATAAGGCTAACATTAATAATTGTATGTGATAAAAAGTTAAATAAGAAACAATAAAATTTAAAATCCATACTTCCATACTTAATATTATAAATGTGAGTGTGTTTGTTTGTTTGACCTTCCTTCACGTCGAAACGGAGTGACGGATTGGCGTGATTTTTTGTGTGGAGGTAGTTGGAGGACTGGAGAGTGACATAGGCTACTTTTTACTGCGGAAGAATATTTCATTCCCACGGGAAAACATGTTATAATGCAACTAAAAAAATATTTATGATCCGAATTACTTGAAACTTAGTATTAATGCTCTTCAATATAATTAAATAAATACGTGTTTTAGCATTTTTAGAAATTCATCCCATTAAGAGGTGTAAAATAGGGGATGAAAGTTTGTATGAAACTAACTTTTTAGAGATTTTTTACAGTTTTAGCGCGAGCGAAGACGCGGATTCTACTAGTATTGTACATTTAAATATTAGTAAGTACCTACAGATTTACATAATTAATAACTGAAAAGATTTTACACGGAGCAGGCAATTTACTCTATTTAGTATTGGGTTCAATCTCTATAAAGCATGAAAATTCGAAATGTAGCGAAAGACATTTCCGTATAGTATTATTCCATATTGTTTGTTATTCCCCATTCTAAGTCACATTAAGCAGTGAATCCCCCATACATTAAGGCAATAAAGAAACAAGTGATCACGTATGCAGCTAGCAGCTCTACGTAATCTTTATGAGGTATTGACTCGTTGACTCAATGCGTACTGTATTGGATACTTTGTACTTTCAGTGGTACGTGATCATAATATAAGGGGATAGACTCACATACATAAATATATATGTATGGTTAAAGCATTCGCTATAAAATGGTAAATAATATAAGTAAAGGTATATGCAATCGTATATATTATGCTAAACTAAAAATTATATACGTATTTATTATGTTTTGTATTTACTTTTGTTTATTTAGTAGTTTTTTAGTTTTGACGACACGTTTGACTTAGTTTGTAGTGACCCTGCTTGCTGTGCCGGCGGTCGCGGGTTCGAGTCCCGCTGGGGGCATTCATTTGTGTGATGAGCGCGAATGTTTGTACTCAAGTCATGGGTGTTTATATATTTTATAATATGTATGTATTTAAAGTTATATATGTGTAGTGTATCAACTATTTGGTATCCATAACACAAGCCTCGTAGCTTACCATGGAATTAGATGGTGTTGTGTGTTAATGTCCCAACATTTATATTTTAATACTTTCATTTATTACTACAAATATAATTGCTACTAACTATTTGTTCAACTGCTTGGGCTGTGGAAATGCAAATTGACTGCCATTACATCTTATTAAACTTATTTTGATTTATGAAATAGAAGTGAAAACCAAAAACGATATTTCTAAAAATATGGTAGTGATATGTTTTTTTTATTCATCGTATACTTAGTATTTAACTGAAGACTATAACTTAAAAAATCTTCTGAATTGAAGCATTTCAAATAAAACCTAATTTAGAAGACAGTCTGAGTAAACTCTTGATACACACATACGGACGAACTCGCACGTTAAGGGTGCCTTTTATGCCACTTTCATACTGTGTTCTATTGAAAAAGTTTAATCTAAATTATTTCTTAATTATATGAACAGTAAAAACTTAATTCCCAAGAAAAGAAAGAACAGTAAAATTACAAATAAATCTCTAAAATTAGATAACTTTTACAATCCTATACATTTATATCACTCTAACATCCCTTTAACGGATCACAAGTCGAAATCTAACAAATCCTGTATAATAAAGAACTGAAGTGATCAAAGCGCAGTTACGGTGCACGTCACGTGCCG